AGTTTATACAGTGTTATGTAAACAGTTCTAGGGACAGGTTTATGATGTCACAGTATTATCAGATCACAAACAACTGAATTCTACTCCAAAGTGTACATTTTCTTTCCTATAAAAAGAATTATATTCTGGGCTACACACAACATACCCTCTCAACGTTCAATCTAGGCCAACCAACAGCCATACAATAATTACTCCAATCCAAGTTTAAGTCCAAATACTCAATTGTCTAACTTCTTATAGCCAACTGCATAATCTACCTTCATAATTAACGCTCAACAGGAATTTCACTAACGGGTCTCTCCACCCCTAGTCAAACATGCTAGCTCACTTCGTCGGCTACCCATGTGACTTTAAATAACTAGGTCTCTACAATAAGATAGCCTCGAATTTCTAATTCCCACTTATCGCCAACTCCAGAATTAACTAATCATTATTAAACATACTTCAATCCAAATACAATCGGTTTATCTAAGAATACGTCCGTTGAGCTGTCTATAATTCAGCGCTAAACGTACATTTTACTGTTCGATATTGATAATTGTCACAATTTGTAGTTTCATTTCATTTCTAATCTTTTGACAGGGTAGCCCATTTACCAACAAGTAGTGGTCTTCCATGGGGCCCTGAATAAACATGAACATATTTACATCGTTTATAACGTTAATACAAAACTTTTTTTAATAATAATACTCATTTGCAAAATAAACATAAATCATTAACCTAGTAAACAGTAATGTCAATAGGAAAATATTGATTAAGTCGCAATTATGTGAATAAGTCATGTTGATATTTCAGAACATGCACGTAGTGTATGTTCGCCTGAGCCATTCACAAATTACAACTTTGTTTAAACAATCTCTTAAACGAATTGACAGAGGAAGCCGTCCTCAACGAATTATCTAGCTTATTCCATTCAAATATGGAAGAAACAATTGGGCTACACTTATAACAATCAGTGTGAAATCTGGGCACACGTAAACATCCACTGTCTATTTGCCTTGTATGATGCTCATGCAGGCGCGTACGCAGGATTTTTTCAAGGGGGGGGTTTTAACATTTATAAATCGGTCCGAAAATTTCGCAACGACTCAGGGGGGGGGGGGGGGGGGGGGGGGGGGGGGTAAAGAGGACACTTTTTTCTTTTTTTTTTGGTCTCGAAATTTGGAAATTTGACATTTTGCTCCGTTGGGGGGGGGGGTAAGGTCACCTTTTTTAGGTCGGCCATGGGAATAATTTTTTTTTTTTTTTTTTTTTTTTTTTAATAATTAAAAAAAAAAAAAAAAAAAAAAAAAACCAAAAGGGGGGGGGGGGGGGGGGGGGGGGGGGTTTAGGTTTTTTTGGGGGGGTTTACACACAAAAAAATTCCAAAGGGGGGGGGGGGGTTTAACCCCCCAAACCCCCCCCCCCCCCCCCCCCTGCGTACGCGCCTGTGCTCATGTACATCATTAGGATTGATTAAGCCTACCTGAACTTCTTATCCATGGGTTTGGGGGAAATTTCAAGGTTATGGCAACAATTTTTGATTTTAAAAGTTGCTTAGTCGAATTTGTTATGTCAGAAAACATATTATTAGACACTAAAATCATTAGAATCGGACGATGTTAACTGTGTTGGTGAATTTGACCGCCAGTCTAAATTTTTTTTTTTTTTTAATGATATTTTATTTCCTTCCTTATAAATTCACATTACAAGAAATTATCACAATAAGTCATATAAAACAAGATATTCGATACAAAACACTTCATGAATTACATCAATCAATGAACAATGGACATAGGAAAATCTCAAATTATACATGATTGTACATATCAAAATAACAATAGAGGAAGGTATAAAGTTTACATAGTCCCACCCAATCACACACCCGCACACCCTCAACTCGTACCGAACAAATTCATGACACCCCCACCACCCCCTCTAGCACACCCACACTTCACACCCTTTCATACCAAACACACACACACTGCATGCAACCTGTTCCGGCTTATCCACCTGTACCCGATAACCCAAAAAACATCCATTAAACTAAAAATGCATCGATTTGTTCCCATTTCTGTAAGTGCATCCCTAGTTTTCCCTTTTTGAAGGCTATTTTATATTCCTCGTCTCTGTAATCTTTCAGCATATGTACTACTTTCTGCACGGATGGCAGAGTTCCCTTTTTTCTGGAAATAAAAATGATATACTTTACTAGAAATATAATACAATTTATTACAAATATTCTAGCAGTATTGCCAGATATTCCCATGAAAATGGGTTTCCAATCATCACTGTGAACTTCGATTAAATGTAACTTTTTAATTACCTCTTGCCATAATCGTTTAACTATATGACAATCTAAAAATATATGTTGATATGTCTCTACTTCTAGTCTACAAAAGGAACAAAAATGGTCAGACTCAAAACCAAATTTGAAAAGCTCTCTTTTCGTATATACATCCCCTTGTAATTGTTTGTATTGAAACTCTCTTTGTTTCTTACATAACATTGCACATTTCACCCTCATTCACAGTAACCGTCTGTAACATGTAATGTGTAATCTTTTTGAAATTCTTCAATGAAGTAATCATATAACCGCCTAGACTTTATGTCACATAGTTTCTGTAAACGTCCAAATATCATCAATTCTTTTTCAAAATTTTCAGTATCCACTTCCATAAAATCACTTTGTATCCATTCTAATCTGATTGCTGAAAAGATCCTTTGAATTCTAAGCAAGCTTTCAGTTGCAAAACCCAAATTATAAAAGTGTAAGATTGGTTTTAAATGACCTCTGACGATTATATCTGATGCTTGAAATATACCTTTCTGAAATAATTCGACATCAAAAAATGTTTTATTGCCGAGACATATGCACTTATTATTAAAAATAAGCGGATTATTCTTATTTACTCCAAAATGTCTGCAATTATCTAATTCTTGCCATGCTTTCAACATGTCTTTATAAAACAATGGTATACCATTCAAGTCCATTTTATTTATATCATAATTACACAGAAATATAATTCGACCACCCAGTGATCTGAAAAAGTGGTCAAAAGTTACTTTCCAACCTGAATACTTTTCTCTATATAGCAACCGTTTGACCCACATTATTCTCTGAGTCTTGACAAATACCTTGAAATTCGTTACTCTGAGTCCCCCAACGCAGTAATCTTGATATAATATTTTCCGTTTTATTCTGTCTCTTCCTCCCTAAATAAAATTAAAAGAAATCTTTTCGATTTCTTCAAAAATGCTCTGTGGGACTGTCATAAGAGACGATACATAATTTAGTTTTGAAAATACATACATTTTCAACAATTTAATTTTGCCAAACATCGTTAAATCTCGTTGCTTCCACCAACCGATTAGTCTTTTGATTTTGCTCAAAATTTCCTTATAGTTCAAATCATCTTTTATTTTGGAATAACGTGCGAAATATACCCCTAGGATTTTTATATGTTCAATGTCCGAACAGAGGTAAACCCGGCCTATCCTTTTCCTCTCCCAACCACATGAAATTTGTTTTATCTATATTTAGCTTCAATCCACTTAATTTTTCAAAGTTTTTTAAAACTTTCTTCACTCTATTAAAATGCATTGACCTTTTTTTACCATAGCGCCCTCTTTTAAGGTCGGAGGTATAACAAACAATACATTTTTGGAATCCTCATGACCAGACGAGTAATTTGATTTGCAATTTGATAAGGTTAACTGTATTGGTGAATTTGACCACCAGTCATGCAAAAGTGCGTTGACCTTTCAACGTTTTTTTACCATCAAGGTCGGAGGTATAGAAAACTATATATTTTTGGAATCATCATGACAAGACGTGTAGTTTGATATGCATATCGACAAGATTGGAACATATTTCAATGTTGACCCCTGTTTGACCTCTGTTGGCCCCTCACGAAAATGCCCGGGATTTTCAAGGGGGCAGCCCAAGTCAAAATTGTTCGGTATTCATCAGGGAACACAAAAACACTTTAAACCTTTGTTCCCAGAGATTGGTCACGGGACCTACAGGCTGGTCTCCTACTAAGAGAGAGAGAGTGTGTGTGTGAGTTAACATATTCACAATCCAGGTCCCTGTTAACCGTGCACTCATATTTAGATCAATTATTTACATTCTATTTACACATAGGAGCAAAGGCATGTTACGGATTGAACTAAAGGTGTACCTTAAGTTATTGTGTACACTGTACAGGTGTAAAATACATGTTGAACAATTAGTCCTAAAATTTAAAAGCATGTCAATATTCACAAAATGAATTAGCTTAAATGTAGGTACTAAATAATATAAACTAGAGTTAAAACTTTAACTGCTTGTGACATTCTAACTACGTTACAGAGGCACAAAGCCTTTCTGTCCAAAAACTTATGTTTAGAGAAGTCTGCGGTACCTCACCTAATAAAATATAAACGTTTACCACTCATACATAACTTTCAAGAGATAGGACATCTTAAATGTCTACGGTCATGGAAACAACACCTGGAAAAGGTTAGACTGAGACACGTCTACATTTGAGACAGTTTGTCAGTCTGCTCATACGACCTGTACCACATCCCAATTAATTGCAGCTTAGGTTTGCCACCAAGCTACAAAAGAGTCAAATCACTCGGGCTAAATACCATTTCACCTTTTCCAAGTAATGTTTTTTTTACAAGTGACTATCATATTGACGAACAATGTAAAAGAATTTCATATACAATGAATAAGACATTTGAATAAGAAATAAACCAGCCAAGCCAATATCATATTTGTGCCATCACCCCATTAAACTTGCCTATTTTGGGGTGATTAAATCCCAAACTCGAGGGGGTGGTTGTCCTTCGGGGTAATTGTCGAAGAGGGTAACATTGGGGAAGAATTTGGTCCTTGGGGGGGGGCGTGATTGGCCTTCGACTTTGAATTAATTGTAGTTGTTGGGCTAGAGAACAGTTATTGACAGGATGTGAACCTTGGGGGTGATTGTTCTACGGCTTTGATTTACATGTAGTTGTTCGTGTAGTGGTGATTACACTTCGGATTTGATCTCGGTGTGGGACTCGAGAACGAAAATTGAAGAGATGTGAACCTTGGGGGTTGATTGTCCTAGGAGATGGTTGTCCTTCGGGGATAATTGTCGAAGAGGGTAACATTGGGGAAGAATTTGGTCCTTTGGAGGTGATTGGCCTTTGACTTTGAATTAATTGTAGTTGTTGGGCTAGAGAACAGTTATTGACTAGATGTGATCCTTGGGGGTGATTGTTCTACGGCTTTGATTTACTAATTGTAGTTGTTCGTGTAGTGGTGATTACACGGGATTTGATCTCGGTGTGGGACTCGAGAACGAAAATTGAAGAGATGTGAACCTTGGGGGTTGATTGTCCTAGGAGATGGTTGTCCTTCGGGGATAATTGTCGAAGAGGGTAACATTGGGGAAGAATTTGGTCCTTGGGGGGTGATTGGCCTATGGCTTTGGTTTACTTGTAGTTGTTGTTGTAATAGAGAAAGATTATTTACGAGATGTGTCATAGGGGGTGGTTGTCCTCGAACCGTTTCTGTGATATTCCCAAGGTCAAGACTGGTGTCAGCTGCAGGCTTGAATCTCTGCTTCTGTGCCTTCTCCCTTATGGTTGCTGCTGAAGTTTGATCAATAACCTCCTTTAGCAAGGCACCGATCTCTTCGCAAAGGAATGTGTGAGCAGCCAGACTGTCCGTCTCGAGACATCCCAGTCTGGCATTATTCACCAGATCTACCGAACTACAAATGCTCTTGATCATCTGTTCATCATTCGATTTGACACCGTTGAGGGCTTCATCAAAACTACGCTCCAGAGCATCGATCTTCACAACAAGTACACGTCGGTTGTCTTCTAGTTGCTTGACCTTGGTACGACAAGCTTGGCCGACATCTTCACGTAGTAGATGAAGGGCAATGTGTGCTGCATGACGATGTATCTCCACAGTCTGAATGTTCTTCTCCAGTTCTGATTGCTTGGCTTTACAACGATGGAGAAGATCACTCACCTGAAGAACGGAAGTTGAAGGGAAGCAAAAAGAGTGATTCTCACTTGAATGTAAAATTCTGATAACATTAAATCACCATTGTAAATTAAGGATCGTTAAGATATGACGCGCAAAACCGCGGCGTTTTTTTTAAATGATGAAGTAAAGTGTAATACGCTTCACTTTTCTGTATGTTATAACACAGTGCTTAGTCCTTTGTTGCGCGCATTTACCATTCATTTACATGTTTTAAAAAACGAAGCAGCTTGTTTTGTGGTATATATGACAAGGCCTTTAATATTCACAATTTGAGGCTTTTCGGATCACAATCTGGTAGCCTTACTGAAAAAAACTGTCAATAATTAAAATTCTTCTGTCAAAAGAACCCGCTTAAATTTGTTAAAAGGAATTTATGAAAGAAGTACAGAAAAGAGAAAAAATGAAAGTGGTGATAGTTGAATGATTTTTTTTTTAAATCAAGTGAAATGGCATGACTTTCATTCAGTTACCGAAAACTTCCATTCGTAAATAGTGTACTCACTATGAAACCGACACGGAACATTATTAATATATTTTTAATCATACTTTGACGTGTGCAAGTAACATAATTAAACATCTACGATTTATTAATTCATTGCTTTATTAGATTATTTCATACATTTCTTTTATCTGAACAGGCTTGATCGGTCAGTAATGAAACGAGTACTTGGTATATGCTTGGTGAATTACAAAATAGAGGGAGACAAATCAGAGATAACGATGAGGAGGATCCCAACAGAATAAACCTTCTTATATGTGTGTTAATAAATCCACAGGATTATGATCAATGTGCTAAGGATTAAATAAATATATGAGCGTGTAAAATAACACTGAACATTGAAAGTTCCAACAATACACTTCATCTTCGATTGTCCTCATATCATTCATTATATTCATTAAACGATCTATCCGAACTCGAGTTGAGGACATGCGGTTTTTGCTGCTGGTCGGCTAAAAAAACCTTTTTAAAAGATACCTCAGTTACACCGCCAAACCGTCTGTATACCGACTCCCAAAACCGACTCTTAGCCATTTGGGGGAGATATAATATTTTGTTCGGTCTGTTGTCGGTCTGATGTAGGTCTCGTTGGTGTGACTGGGGTCTATTATCGCAAAGCCAAGGGAAAGGGGATGGAGAGGCATTGGCTGACGACCTATATTATATTGTTTTGCTTGTCAGAGAATTTTGCAGCCCAAACGGCACACCCAAACCATGTGATGACATTTACTAGTGTTTTGTCACAGAATTTTCTGACATGACTTTGTGCCCCCCCCCCCCAATCTAACCGCCAGAAAATCGTGGATACTACAAAGTTGATAACGTTATAATTAAATATTGTAATTAACCTTTTAATAAATAATCAATATCAATGCCCCGATAAATTACCTCTTGCTATCTTAATCAAATTTACGGTCAAAAGATTTTCACAAATAGGACAGGAAGATTAGGGGTACTGTGGTGTGGTAGATAAGTCTCCGGACTATTAACTACAAGGTACGGGGATCAAATCCCTGCAACGTACGGCACATATATTCTTTGGCAAGACATTAATCAACATTTGTTATACCCGTTCCAGAAATATTCTTAATAGATGCATTGTAGGATTTATTCCTCGAAGGCACTGGGCGCTACGGTTGCTGGAGCTAAAGCCTGGATAACAATGTCCAAAATCTTTTTGAAGCAAAAAGAGATGTGATATTACACCAAGTTTGTGAGATGCTCGCTTTACAAGTAGGCCTACTGACTATTATCATTGTTTTTAAGGTTGGGTACATTATCGAGCATGCGTGGTTTTAGACGGCAAACACTGTTGCCCATATAGTTGGAATATTTTTTTCTAATCCTGTTCATAAAATGATTGAGATAAAATTATTTAGTTTTGATAGATAAAGGTTTTCCCCAGATTCCAGACCCTTATAGATCAATCTCTATGATCAATATAGTTCTGTCACGAAAAGAGTTATTATTAATGTATCTGGCAACGGTGTACGTTGGGGGTAATAATATGTAAATAATAATACATATTTGAGTGAACCATATATTTTTGACCATTCGTGAATCACCTGCCATTGAACTACGTACCTTAGCCTGCATTTCTTTTTCGAAGTCCATATGAGATTTTATCTTGTGATCTCGATGGTCGATGACGACGCACTTGAAACAGACGCGCATCTTACAATCCTGACAGAACATATCTTTGTTCTCTAGTCTGTGGACGGAGCATTTCTCGGAGGGGCGACTAGGTGTAACATTACCCTCAACGATATCCTGGATAGAAACGATCTCATGACCTTCGAAGAACATCTGCTGTCGTTTGTGGCCAACGCGGCATTGGTCACACATGGATATATTACATGTTATGCAGAAAGCGATGGGTTCTACTTGAAGGTTGCAGACAGTGCAATTTTGCCGCATCTGCAGAATGGCATTTGCCCCTCCAAACCTGGCATGGTAGTCGTCTACGAGTCCGTTGACCGTCACGTTGCTGAGGAGATCATCGACCCGGTTCGGGGACAACTTCGTCACTGTCCTGCAGAGAGGGCAGACCATGTGATCAAGATCCTGGTGAGATTGGTCGTATTTCCTGAGACAGGGTCGACAGAAGGTATGTCCTCAAGAGGTCAAGAGGGTTGCATCGTCGAAGATACCAAGACACAGTGGACATGTCAAGCCTTGTGAAGAGATCGGAACGTCCTCTTCTTCCTGCTTCTCGGCCATGGATGTGATGTGCGAATCGGTGACCAATTAGAGAAAGCAATTAAGCCTGCACAGAATCCCGTTTAAAAGATTTCAACGAGATCCACTTTTATGAAAAGTTTGCTGTAAACTTAGTGTATATTATGTAGCTCTACGATGCTGAAATAAACACAATATCTGCACTCATTAATAGAGAATACATGTACGTCACAATAAAGAGTTCTCTTCCCAATGAAGCCTTAAGTATACACCGGTTATGATACCAACTATGCAAATAAGCGCAGCGCCCTGAATTTGTACTAGTACTGGTGGGTTTTCCCAGAGGTCAACACTTTCACCTTTGACGTCGATCGTATTACGTTGAATTTCCGCTATAATGTGCATCTCATTAGTATTCAGGAAACCAACTTTCGCTCTTAATTCTATGCATGTTATTGACAATGTGTTATTGATGAGCTGAGCTTTTTAATAGGTTCCTCACATTTCACCCTGTATAACCTACCATTCAATACAATTAATTTGGACGTCTTTACCAAGAATTGATCATATAATGTGATACTTTTAGTATATTTCGTATTGTGTTCTAATTTTGTCACTAATGTGAATTCTCTTTTGTGAAATGTGAAACAAAATAAACTTGGAATTTGAAGTAGCGTACGTATCTGACTAACAGAGACACGATAAGCAACGCGTAATATTCAGATATCCTTGCCTTATATAGGCTTATAGGAATGGCAGGGCTACTGCTGTCTGCAGGGGGATATCTGCATGTTTAAAGATACTAGGACCCTTTTGCAGCCAACATCAAATTCCGTAGAATTAACTAGGCAGGAATTATGAATATGTCAAGTATGTCCTATATGTGGAATTTAAACGTTAGCAGTATCCATCAGGCGTGTACGCAGGGGGGAGGGGGGGTTAACCCCCCCCCCCCCCCCTTTGGTAATTTTATGTATGTAAACCCCCTAAAAAAAAACCTAACCCCCCCCCCCTTTTTATTTTTATTTTTTTAATATTTATTTAAAAAAAAAAAAAAAAAAATATTCCCACGGCCGACCTAAAAAGGTGACCTTACCCCCCCCCCCCCCCCCCCCCCGCTTATTCAGCGGTCGGCTGAGTCGTTGCGATTTTTTTGGGACAAAAAAAAAAAAAAAAAAAAAAAAATGTCCTCTTACAGTGCGTCCCAGAAAAAACGAAACCGAGAAGTATCGATGTTTTATCATAACTTAATCACAACTATAATTAATGAATGAATGAATGAACGTGAGTAGCATCAACTCAAAGAGGAGACTCTAAGCTTTCCAAATATGTATCATTCATTAATTATGATTGTGATTAAGTTATGATAAAACATCGATACTTCTTGGTTTCGTTTTTTCTGGGACGCACTGTATAAAGACCAGGGGGGTGTTTCACAAAGATCCCAAGTCGAACTTAACACTAAGTATGACTTAAATATTATGGAAAGCCATGTGTAGCTTTTAAAAAGAATTTATTCAAAAGCGAAAAATTGAAGTATTTTTGACTTTTTATAAATTCCACATCAAGAACATGAAATCTCCTTGATAATAGAAAATATGAATGATTTGAATCAACATTTTTTTACTTTTAAAATAACTTTTACAAAATATTTTCATAGATGCTAACGGCTTTCCATAATTTTTAAGTCCAACTTAGAGATAAGTTCAACTTAGGATCTTTGTGAAACACCACCCTGGATAATCAGATCGAGCCATCAATATTTAGAACTTGTTGAAATATAGCGAAAATTGTTTTGTGATACGTGCACCTCAGTCACACCGCCAAAACTTAGCGGTAATGTGATTGTTTGATCACTCTGTAGTTCATTTGGGTTTGTTGCTTCCATATGACTTGGGTATGCATGCAGGGGCGGATCCAGCCGGCGACAGGAGAGGGGGCCAAATTCGTGAGGAATATTTAGCGGCGACACAGCCGGCCGATAATTCGCCCAGTCGGGGGGGGGGGGGGGGGGGGCCTCGAAAATTTGAAAAATCGCACCCCCCCCCCCTTGAGCGCCAGAGGAGGGGGCCATCTAAATAAAAAGGTAAACTTAACGTCCCAGTGGAGGCCCCCCCCCCCCCCCCCCTGGATCCGGCCACTGTATGCATGTAACCAAAGCGTTTTGAGAGAGATAGTTGTGACACGCGCATCTACGCGTACTGAATGAAGATGACTTTGGCGCTGATAAACGTTGGAGAGCCGGGAGCGTCCGGGCTTTCACAGAGTATGGGCGCTATACCACTATACCAGAACTAAAACCTGCCATTATTATTATTACCGTCTGTCTCACTGTGTAGCCAGACACGGAGTTGAATACATACTAGTAAAGGTCAACAAACAAATCATCATAGTCAGGAAAATCAAAAGAACACTGGGCATTGTAATCGCTGACGAACTTTTGACCTCCAATTATCTAATGCTCGAGGAAATTCAGAACGAGCCTGTAGTTGCTTTTCAGAAGAACGAAGGATTATTTAATGAACGTTTATACATGGGGCTGTTTGTGATATTATATCATATCTATCTACAGAATTATTTCGTGTTGTCTAGAAAATAACCGGGTCCCCAATAAGTAAAATGATTTTCAGTCTGCAAGGCAGCACTGGAAAATGGTAAATGGTGATACATTAATGCCAATGAATGAAATGAGAAGGGACATTCGTTTTTTTCATGGACAAAAATGCATATATACCATCAATTTCTTTATCTTTACCATTAATTTCTTCATCTATACCATTTTGTACCCATGTCTATTTTGAGTTGTATTTATTCCTGATTTTGTATTTTGTATACAATTGATAGTGTATGTTAATTGATGTTATATAGATTGAAGAAACAGCCGGAAACGAATTGTTTGCCTTGTAACTATACATGATCAATAACATTGAACTTGAACTTGAACTTGAACTTGAAATAAGTGAATGTTTGTCTCGATGTAGTTAAAATAAATTGGTTAATCCAGGATCGCAGCGTGGTTGTCCTTAAAACTTTTATCATCTGCCCGATATTTCTTTATCGTGCACTCTCCCTCTCTCTCTATGTCTACTTTATCTGTATGTATTTGTAATAAAGTATATGTGTACGTCTCTTTATCCATTTATATTAAAGATTTGTTAAGATCAAATATCCCCCTCTCACTCTTTCATCTCTCTCTTGTTTCTCCCTCGATCCCCACCCTCTCTCTTCTTATCCTCGTAAATATACTAAAGAAAATATCCTCTACTGAAAATCATTACCTTATGAGTTTCATGCAGTGTCATAAAATCAATAACGTCCCATGATGAGGAACATTATGATACATCAAATAAAATTAGTGTATACTTCCTCCCTATGAAAAGAGAAGCTGATACTTCCTCCGTCTTCTCTATTTCTTTGTACCCTATGTCTTCAACTTCCTTCCTCCTTCCTTCCTACTACCCCTTTCTCTATCCCTCTTTTCTACAATTGTTTATCTCTCTCCCTCTCTCTCTTTCTCCCTTCCCTAGCTCCCGCCCCTTTCATTCTCCTGTCTTTTTTTCCAATTCCAAATCTCTCTCCTTATTCCTTTCTCCATCCCCTTTACCAATATATCTCCTTTCATTTCTCGCCACCCCGTCTTCTTTATCTCTTTGTTGATTCTATCTCAATGATTTGATATGCTTGTATAAATTATAATATAATAGTAAACAAATGTTAAGGGATTATCCCCACAGTAACCAAAAGCTGTTATATAGGTACTTCCCTTACATTTATGGGGTACCACAAGGATCCGTCATATAAAATATCAATAGAAAGACACATAATAAATGTAAAATTTACACATGATTTAAATGAATATACGTTTAAGAAAAGAATACCCTTTGCTTTGGTGAAACTACTATATTGAGTTATCCCGATTTTCACGAAGCATAATATGTTTGGACATAAAAACTCTGTTACTCCCGAAATATCCTCCGTCTCGCCATCTATATGTTATATTTTCTTTTTTAACAAAATAATAATGAACCTCAAGCTTTTAACTATATCGGAGAATCACGATAATGACAATTACTTTAATTTATTTTATTAAAAAATGATAATGATTATGATATATATATATATATATATATATTATGTGTTTTAGGGGTAAATGCTTATACATTATCCCTATACATTGAGGTCTGCAGATACCCCCATGTATACACCAGACACCATTGCCTTTCCAAAGGCAAGCAAAAGCAAGCTAGGATACCTTACGCAATGCTTATTGTGTCCCAGTTAGTTATCAATGTATATACGTACGCCACTGTTGAAGGATGTAATGCACATATCGTCGCTGTTTTCACGAAGTGACGGTAGTGAAAAAAAATTGCATTCACTTTGCGTTACGATTTTCCTCACTACCGTCACTTCGTGAAAACAAGGACGATATATTGTATGTAGAAAGGACAATTTTTGTTTATTAAAAACGAATAAGATGAATACAATAGCACGCAATCTAATAGACGTGACGAGTCAAAGGTTTAAATGGCGCTCTCTGGGAAAACCCACCAGTACTACTACAAATATAGCATCAATTCAGGGCGCAGCGCCTATATTTGCAGAGTATATAGGCAGCATTGACGTTGTGTACGTTCACATTTGGGTAGAGAGCTCATGTTTATATTGTGACGTACACGTATTCCCTAATTATCAGAACGTATATCGAGTTGGGCCTGCATATATCATGTTTATATCACTATCAAGATCGCAGATATACATATTCTTCAGGTATACAACAAACTCTTCATAAACATCTAATCAGGATTTAGTGCAGGCTCAATTGCTTTCTCTAATTGGTCACCGGTGCGCACATCACACCAATGGCCGAGAAGCAGGACGAAGAGGACGTTCCGATCCCTTCACAAGGCTTGACATGTCCACTGTGTCTTGGTATCTTCGACGATGCAACCCTATTGATCTCTTGCGGACATACCTTCTGTCGACCCTGTCTCAGGAAATACGACCTATCCCACCAGGATCTTGATCACATGGTCTGCCCTCTCTGCAGGACAGTGACGAAGTTGTCCGCAAACCGGGTCGACGATCTCCTCCCCAATGTGACGGTCAACGGACTCGTGGACGATCACCGTGCCAGATCTGGCGAGACAAATGTCATCCTGGAAATGTGGCAAGAGTGCACTGCCTGCAACCTCCAGGTAGAGGCCGTCACTTTCTGCTCTACATGCAATGTTTACATGTGTGATGAATGTCACATTGACCACATGTTGTTCTTCTTCGAAGGTCATGAGATCGTACACCAGGACTAATTGAGGGAAATTTCAAACCTGGTCGTCGCTTCGAGAAATGTTCCGCCCACAGACAAGATAACAAAGATATGTTCTGTCAGGATTGTAAGATACGCGTCTGTTTTAAATGCGTCGTCATTGATCATCGAGATCACAAGATAAAATCACATAAGGACTTCGAAAAGGAGATGCAGTTTAAGGTACGTAATCCAATGACATGTCATTCATGAATGGTCTAAAATACGGTCTTGTTCACTCGTTTATTATTATTAATATTATTATTTACGTAACCAAATGACACCGTTGCCAAATAAAGTTATCCAAATTTTTCTAAACTCTGTTCGTGATATCTTTTCAGAACTATATTCAAGATCATAATAATTAATGATCGGTCAAACGCGATAATGTGTGATTCATTTACTAAGACTCAGTATAGTATTCATAGTATAGTATAAATAGTATTCCACGTTTTTAATCACAAAGTGTGCAATAATCCAACGATTTTAAAGTACGCGATGACCAGAAAGAAAGTTGTCGTATTGCCATAAAAAAAGCAAAACAAACATTAAAAAAAAAAAAATCCACCGACAGACTTAAAGGGAAAAACGTTGTTGGCATAATACTATGAATGATATGAGGACAGTCAAAGAAGAAGTGTATTGTTGGAACTTTCAATGTTGAACATTATCCTGTTGATTTATTGATCGACATACAGTTATAAGTAGGTTTATTTGGTTGGAATCCTCGTCGTTGTCTCTTTCTCCGCCTGCTTTCTCCCTCTACACACAGAGAAATAAAAGGTGTTCTTGGGGAGTAAAACGAAATTGGAAAAATAGGGCGCCGCTTTTACACCTTTTAGGAAGTAAAACACGGAAATACGCAAGGGTGTATATTTGAGGGATGTAATTTTACACCCTATTTTAGTCAGACGAGCTCTGATTGGTCAGTGCATATGCGCATGCGCTACAGCAATGGCGCATCGTGTCAATATAGGTACTGCCAAATGAATTTTTTTAAAGCATAATTCACATAGTTTAGTCATGTTAGGGGAATTATCATGTTTCATTTGGGCATATTATTTGTGTGAAAGTTATCCGATCAAGAATAAGGGGTTGTACCGAGGGTTATATTTGATAATTTAATGAAATTAGCAGAAGTGTTGTTTTACTAACTAGTACAAAATTGTCTTCTCATTCGTGTAAGTAAAGGGAAGAAATTCGGTAAGGCAGGATTGTGTGTTTAAGTAATTCCATTACATTTGAACCGATAACTCCAGCCATAAGTTAGTTCTTACAGTCTGCACTTGTGTTGAGTTCACACTAATTGTTGTTTAGGTGAGCATTAAAGCCTTTCAACATATAACTCGATATTCTGGTCTGATTTCTTTAGAGCATTGAAACGTAGACAAAAGGGTGAGAATCAGTGACTGTTGGGTGATTACGAAGCATGGATGATTGATTGCTCGAGAGATGATCAATTGGTTGATGCTGTGCATAAAAAGGGTGTAGATTTACTCCCCACAGGGTGTGGAATGGATCATAAAGGGTATAAAATTCAACCCCACGGGTGTAAATTTGAACCCATTTTTCATGAAAATGGAACCAAAAGGTGTTAAATGAGCACCATTGGGTGCAAATTTCACTCCTTAAAGGGAGTACAATCATAACCTTGGGGTGCAAATTTACATCTTCTTATGAAAGAAAGTAATTTACTCCCTACATTGGGGAGTAAATTTACTCCCTGAGGGGTGTCACTTATGCGACAAGCAGTTACTCCCTATAGGGAGTCAATTTACACCTACTTTTCTCTGTGTGTATGTTGCCATTCACCAATCTAACCAAGCGCCAGCTCCATTACTGACGGATCAACCCTGTTCTGATTTTTCTTAAATGAAATAAAACAACAAAACAATAAATTAGAACTCGCAGATGCTCGTTTGTTGCTTGCATCCTTTAAAGTATAATTTAACATATTAATAATGTTCTATGTCTGTGGTGAGTGCACTATTTACGACTGGAGATTTTCGGTAACTGAATGAAATTCAAGCCATTCCACTTGATAAAAAAAAACTTTATTCAAATTACATTCAACTTATTTGGTTTATTCATCTAAACAAAAAATAAGCGGGTCCTTTTGACAGAATAATTATGGTCGTTAACAGCTTTTTCAGTAGGGCTACCAGATTGTGTTACGGAAAGCCTCCTAATCGTGTCTATTAAAGGTTTTGTCAGATATGGCGAAGTAAACCACCGCTAACAAGTGTAAAAGAATGGCAAGTGACAATTAAAGGACTAAATTGTTTACACTATTAGGCACTGTGTAACAAGATACATTAAGAAATGTAGTTTTGGCCGCGTCATATCGTAACAAGCTTTTTTTTAACAATGTGATCAGATTTTCACCTTCAAGTGATAATCTTTCATTTTGCTTCCCTATTACTGTCGTTATTCAGGTGAGTGATCTTCTCCATCGATGTAACGCGAAGAAATCAGAATTGGAGAAGAACATTCAGACTTTGGAGACGCATCATCGTGAAGCACACACAGCTTTTCAGCTACTACGTGAAGATGTCGGCCAAGCCTGTCGTACCAAGGTCAAGCAACTAGAAGACAACCGACGTGTACTTGTTGAAAAGATCGATTCTCTGGAGCGTAGTTTTGATGAAGCCCTCAATGGTCTGATAACGAAAGAGCGACAGATGATCAAGAGCATTTGTAGTTCGGTAGATCTTGTTGGTTATGCCAGACTGGGATGTCTCGAGACGGACAGTCTGGTTGCTCATACATTCCTTTGCGAAGAGATCGATGGCTTGCTGAAAGAAGGTAATGATCAAACCTCTGCAGCAACCATACGGGAGAAGGCAAAGAAGCAGAGGTTCAATCCTGCAGAAGACACAAGTCTTGACCTTGGGAACATCTCAGAAACAGATGCTGAGGCTGCACTAGATGACATGCTGAAGGGGGTTATCGATGACACTTCTGCAGCAACCATAGGGGAGGAAGTCCAGAAGAAGAGGTCCCAGTTTGCAGAAGAGGATATCCCGACAGGGATATCCGTTCCCGAAACACCGTCCAAAGGTCAACCGAAAGCGATCCGTGTCATTAAGTGTGTACATCTACGTGAAGATTTTGAGGGCATGACAAAATACACTAATGACTCAGTGGCAGTCACATATTGTAATGCAAATGAAATTGATATATTTAATTCACATAATGATGAATCGTGGGTTTATTCCAACATTCCAAACGGTATGAAATGTTATGATCTTGTGTTTCAAAGTGACATGACTATGCGTATCAACAGGTCATACAAAGATACACAGATATTATCCCAATACTACTCGGAAATCTACGACCGAAGTGACAAGCAGTGGAAATGTATTACAGTTGAGTAGGAGTCAATCAGATGAAATTCTCATGACCCAATATTCAAATTCTATCTTCATCTACGACCCTTCGGGAAACACACTCAAACACAATGTGCGAACAAGACACAAGATCACTTACGACGCACGTGCAACCAAGGCGGGTTTGATCGTCACAAGTTCTTGTTACAGCAAACAATATGGCAATCCAAGGATGGTGATGGTATATGACAGGAATGGGAATTCCGGGACGTATCTAGAAGCTCCATCTTGGGTTAACCTGTATCCCGCCGTGGACGAGCAGGACAGAGTGTATGTAGCGAGTGTTGGTAAAAATACCGGAAACGTAGTGATCAGGCTCTATGACATTGTTGGTCTGAGGCTTGAGGAGAGAGGCCAGTTTAATACACTGCGCTTGACAGTAGATCGTACATATTTTCGAATGGTTTCTCTCACTCCACAAATGCTTGCGTTTGCTTCTATCAATAAGCTCTATTTCTGTAAAGTTATATTGTAATTGGCTCTGTTTGCTTCCTTGGCATCTTTCAGTACACACGTTCAATGTCAAGAGTGTCGAACATAATCATGCCGACAACGACTTTCTTCACCTAACCTATACAGTTAGTACTATTGTGGTTGGATGACCTAAAGTCACGAAGATTATATCAATATGATAAATAATAATAATGAAGTATTGATAGCAAAAGTTTGATTCTTGTACTGCGCTCATGTCTGCCAAACCTGACCGTCCTGGTGCTCAACCATTATTACCCCTGCTTAAGCATGGCTGCCATTACGGCGCTCTAGCGTTTCAAGTAATTATCAGGTACTCATTTACCACACCTGGGTCGAGTGAGGCAAATGTTGATATAAGTCTTAACAAATGTCATTGGTGTCGTGGCGGAACTCGAACCTCGAGATGCACAGTCTGGTAACTTATCCGCTAACCTACGACACCGCGAAGTGCAATAGAAGTACAATAGTTGACACTCACACGTGGAGAGTTGTGAAATACTTTTGCCATATAATGATTGAGAATCAAGATTTGAATATATTTTTAAAAAGATGTTCTGAAGTACATGTGTGCCAGGAGGCATACGGATATGCCCGGATGAACACGCATGTCATATTTTTGTTGGGCACCTGCCCCTTTGTACCCCCGTGGATCTAGCACTTCCATTGCAAAAAAGACAATATGATATTTAAATTAAAATATGATAATGTAAATGTTTGTGTGTAAATATATGAGGTAGAAAATGAAACAAATTCACACCAAGAACATATATTTTTGTTTTTATTGAGTGTTCCCGGTAAGAATTTTAACGTCACCGCCTTACAGTCATGCTATGATGGTGTATGAAAGTGTAAGCAAACAGATATAAACACGACTTTTGTATAGGCAGCTGAAGGATTTGTTTACATGTACAAATATCTTACAATAAGCCGAGTGTTTGATTAAAGGTATTACAAAGTTTGGGTAAATTTTGAAAATTGGCTGGATAGTGATTCTTTACAATTTTGATATATTTGGATGCCCCTATGGATGTATTATAAGCACTAAAAGATTTAGCCCCTAAAACTCTTCTGCTTTCGAGAAAAATTGAATATAAAAATTTACCGGTGCTCCCGGTAAATTTTGATAAATTTGAAATAGCGCCTACGGCTAGACGATGGTAGCTGCGACCATAAAAATCTCAGAATATGCAGATCTGATATATATATTCTAAACGGTAATAGCAAATCGGTCGATTTTAGTCAAATAACATTGTTTTAGCCGAACTAATATCTTGACCTTGAGAGGGCGCTATACAACATAAAGAGTTTATTATTTACAATTTCATCACTTTAGACTCGATTTCAACCGCGACAATGATCCCTGAATATTGTAGGATTGCATATGCTTCCAATATGTTCATTTGAACCAAATTCATTACCCCATACCAAAACTTTGTATTACCTTTAAAATTATATGCATATCTGTATAAATATCTATCTCATATATATATATATATATATAGGCGTGAAGAAAATGGTCTAGGAACGTGAGACGTAGCTGTACTTTACAATTTTATTACGAGCTTTCGGCTTGTGAGGCCTTCTTCAGGTTCTGAAGTGCAAACACATACAAAAACAAATATATTGTATGAACAAATATACATGGCATACAAACTTAATATCACTCAATCATAGTCAAGCATCATGAACATAGCAAAGATTAGTACGAGAAATACTTTCGGAATAAACTTAGAAATGATTATGCAAATTCAAAGTGTTTTACCTTGCTTGTGTGTTGGGCTGTCGGTGTGTTTATTCAGTTGATGTGATATATGTGAACGTGTAATAAGGGATGTGCGGTCAAGCTACTGACCTGTGACACGGATGTTACTGATCTATGACACAACATTCCTCGTTTTTAAGTTATACAATTTTTGACATTTTCATCGGGGGGGGGGGGGCTGAAGCCTCTTCCCCGAAAAAGTAATTTTTTGGTTTCACAATTCGGCTAGTGAGCGAAGCGAGCGAGCAATATTTTGAGCATAATATGTATTTTGTGAAAGTGTTATTTATCACCAAAATAAACGAGAAAAAATATTAAAAATTCATATTCGGGCAGCTCGCTGTTCCCCCCCCCCCCCCCCCCATGACGCGCGAGGCGCAGAAACTTTGATGTTTCATGAAATTATTAGATAAAGAAGAGGATTCGTTGTACCATTCTCGACTCTTAATCCTTGTCCGCGGAAGCTTTGACCTTTCATAGTTTAATGAAATTAATAGAGAAAGAAGATGATTCGTTGTTCCATTCACGACTCTTAATCCTTGTCTGAATGCAGTTTTCTCCCTCCCGCGTGAAGCGCGAAAGATTTGACTTTTCATTAAATTATTAGAGGAAGAAGCAATTCGTTGTACCATTTTCGACTCTTTATCTTTGTTTGAATTCAGTTTTCCCCCTTCCGCACAAAGCGCGGAAGCTTTGATACTTCATGAAATTATTAGATAAAGAAGATGATTCGTTGTTCCATGCCCGACTCTTAATCCTTTTCTGAATTCAGTCCCCTCCCCCTCCCCCCCCCCCCCCCCCCCCAACTCTCGCGCGAAGCGCGGAAGCTTTGACCTTTCATACTTTAATGAAATTATTAGAGAAAGAAGATGATTCGTTGTTCCATGCTCGACTCTTAATCCATGTTTGAATTCAGTTTTATTAAATTATTAGAGAAAGAAGAAGATTCGTTATACCATTTTTGACTCATAATCCTTGTCTGAATTCAGTTACCCCCCGCCCGTGCGAAGCGCGGAAGCTTTGACCTTTCATACTTTAATGACATTATTAGAGAAAGAAGATGATTCGTTGTTCCATGCTCGACTCTTAATTCATGTTTGAATTCAGTTTTATTAAATTATTAGAGAAAGAAGAAGATTCGTTATACCATTTTTTACTCATAATCCTTGTCTGAATTCAGTTACCCCCCGCCCGCGCAAAGCGCGGAAGCTTTGACCTTTCATTAATTATTAGAGAAAGAAGACGATTTGATGTACCATTCTCGACTCTTATTACATGACTGAATTCAGTCCCCCCCCCCCCACCCCCCCCCCCCTCCCGCGCGAAAGCATTGACCTTTCATAGTTTAATAAAATCGTTAGAGAAAGAAGATGATTCGTTGTTCTATTCTCGACTCTTAATGCTTGTCTGAATTCAGTTTTCAGTTATAGCAACCCGAGCTTCATTACTTGATTGTCACAAAAACGACAATTTGCCCATATTATGTGAATTAACTGTTTGATATAAGTGCATTGCGTGTAGTTGGCTACCATGGGTAAATAAAACCCAATTATTTTATACATCTCCCCATTGCACAAAATGCTTCATTTGGACTCTGCTAAATCCTGGAGCTCCTGTATCCTCTTTTCCTGCCCCTATTTCCCTTTATCTATACCCCCTTTCCACTCTCTCACACACACACACACACACACACACACACATACATACAGGTAAATCGTGCCAAATGGTGATATTTATCTTTAACTATAATTAACTATGCAATTGGGTATATTGGGATTTGAGGTGTTTTTATAACATTACATTTTATTACATTTTGTCAAAGAATAACAAGAATTTAGCTTCCAGTTTTTATGTGAGAGTTTACTAGGTGCTGTTCATTTTTCCAGAATTTTAAAATTTCAGATAATACACAAAGAAGCGCCCGACAATGTGGCGTCTTACTATGAAAATGTGAATATCTTGGAACTCTTCCAGGAAATGGGTAGTTGTCTCCTCTCGGGTTACTTTTAGCAAAATTAGCAAACACTGAATTAGAAAGTTTTCAACTGGGGATATCCACAGTTTCCAGTGTATCTCCACTAGGGAGTTATGTATACATATTATTATCCCCGTTTCATACGTCTTACAAACCCACACACAGACACACACACACACACACACACACACACAATCTCCCTCTCTCCCTCCATCCCCTACTTTCTTTTCCCCTCCTTCCCTCCTTCTCTCCCTCACTCTTTCCCTTCCTCTCTCTCTCTCTGCCTTCCTTTTTCTCTCCCCCTCTCGATCTCTCTCTCATTTTCTCCCTTTCTCTCCCCCTCTCTCACAACCCCTCTCTCTCTCCCTCCCTCACTTCCTTCCCCTTTTTCTCTCTCCCTCTCTTCCTCCCCCTTCTCTCACTTTATCTCTCTCTCTCTCTCCTCCTCCCTCTCTCTTCCTCCCTCCCCTTTCTCTCTCTAAATATATGTATATATCCCTCTCTCTCTCTCTCACTCTCTCTCCTTCTCTTTTTCTCCCTGTCTCTCTCTATCCCTCTCTCCCCCTCTCTTGATATATTTCTCTCACTCCCCCACTCCCATCTCTCTTCCTCCCCCTTCCATAATAAAATGAGAAAGGAAATTAAATAATTATGGTTGCTTGGCTAACATCAGAATTCCACATCTAGTGTCCTCCATTTTGATTTGTTGTTGTTGTAAAGGTTGGGAAAATGTCGCTACTGGCAACACCAGATTTAATAGACCATATTTGCAATGTAACCTGGTGTAAAGCACACGTCTCTATGAAGTGCCTCAATACAAATCTTTCATTCATATGAAATTAATATGTGTATTCCAATAGTCAGAGTGCACGATAATACATACATTACGTGTTGATATGGAGGGCAATCAATAATGTTTGTCTTATATGGCAACTACTGATGAATGCAGTTCCCATTCTGACTTTTGAAATACAATTATCCGTAATGTGAATTAAATAATTAGTTTCGAAGCATTTTACTAGGTATAGCACACCAAAAATAAGTACAACAAACACATGTTATTTGATGATTGCAAATGATCAAGCGTTATGAAAGCTTCAAAAAACAAAAAACAGAATTGAAATCGGTCAATGCGATGTGATTTTATACCATTTTTTTAATATCGCAAAATTACCGAAAAACCTGCCAGAAATGGTCAAATTGACTTAATTCATCACTTTCTTGGACACAAATAATAAATTAAATTATCAGACACTAAAATATCATCTTTGTGGTAAAAAATACAAAAAATAAAATTCATATATCTATTACCGTTTTGAAAACAGAAGCAAACAAAATAAGTCATTTTTGCCATTTTTGCGAATCTGCAGATATAAAAAAGTTGTGAAAAT